TACATCCACAGTCAACAGCAGAGAGAAATGGATGCATGCTTGTGCTCACTCTGTCTCTTCACTTTTATATAGTTCAGGATGCCCTGCCTAGGGAATAGTGTCACCCACAGTGAGCTGGGTCTTCCCAAGTCAACTATTAAGACAATCCCCCACAAATATGGCCACAGGCTGAACCAGTGTATACATCCTCTTATTTTGACTCCCTTCCCAGGTGATTCTAGGTTGTGTCAAGTTAACAATTACAGCTAACCACCACAGTGTCCAAAATCACATGAACCCCACATCTGTGCCACATGCGCAGCATCACAGACAGCCATGGTCCACGTTGCACCGGCTTGGTGTGAGGCACTGTGCATTCAGCACTGGCTCTGTGTGAGGCACTGTGCATGTGTTTACAGTCCACAGTCTCTCAGTGACTCTGGGAGCTGAGGATCAGCTCTCTTTACAGATATGAACAGAGGCTCTCAAGTTCACAGAACTAGTGAGGGGTAGGGGTGAGGTTTGCAGTCAGATCACTGTCTTAAAAGCCCAGCTTTTGCCTCTTGTCCCTTAAGACTGAGGTAAGATGAAGGCCTCTCTCTCCTAAGCTGCTCTTTTATGAATTTTCCCTTGACATCTATATCATCAAACCTCACCTGGAAAATCTGCTTCAAAGTGCCTTTCCCCTCACCCCCTGCATTCTGGAATGAGAACTCAATCCTGTAGAAAGACAGCTCAGTGCTGAGGTTCAGTATTGTGGACAGGCCTCAGCTCTACTCACAGAGCAGGCAGGGAGCGAGCAGGTGCTCCTATCTGAGAAGTGGCATAGGCAAGCTCGCTGTCTCTGACAGATCCTGGCTTTGCCTCCACCCATCTGCAGAGGGTGGCCTGGGAAACTGGTTCCCTTCCTGCCTCCACTTAATCTTTCCATTTGCCTCATATCCATTCCATGTATGGTTGCCTCAAGAACCTAGCTGGCTGGGGCTGGAGAGATGGCTCAGTGGCTAAGAGCATTGGTTGTTCTTCCAGAGGACAGGGGTTCAATTCCCAGCTCTCACATGGCGGCTAACAACCATCTATAACTCCAGTTCCAGGGTATCTGACGCCCTCTTCTGACCTCCTTGGGTGCTGCATGACATGGATACACTTACATACATGCAGGCAATACACTTATTAAAAAAAGTAAGATATTTTAAAAAAGAACCTAGCTGGGCATGGTGGGATATACTACCTATTATCCCAACACTAGGGAGCCCGAGGCAGGAGGATTTCCAGTTTGAGGCCAGCACGGACCATAGCAAGACCTTATCTTATAAATAAACTGCAAGAAAAAGAATGAAGCTGGGCAAATATTTGGCTTCAAAGCCTGAGTATGTAAAGAAGTCAGGAGGAAGGCTGGGGTGTGGCTCAGTGAGTAGAGTGCTTGCCTAGCATGCATAAAGCTCTGAGTTTGATCCCCAGCACCACATAAGCCAGGTGTGGTGGTGCATGCCTGAAATCCCAGCACTTGGGAGGTAGAGGCAGGAAGATCAGGAGTTCAAGGCCATCCTCAGCTACATACCAAGTTTGAGGCCAGCCTGGGCTATATGAGACCTTGTCTCAAGAATGAACAAATGTGGGGTTGGAGAGATGGCTCAACAGTTAAGAGCACTGGCTGCTCTTGCAGAGGACCTGGTTCTGTTCCCAGCACCCACTTTGGCTAAAACCCCCCTGTAACTCCAGTTCCAGGGGATCCAACACCCTCTTCTCTCTTCTGTGTGCATTGCATGACACAGGTGCACTTATACACATGCAAGCAATACACTCATACATATATATAACAAACATACAAACAAACCAAAGCTTGAATGTGTTTCTAGGCAACACATATCCCCTTTGCCTAGTTCATAATGAACAATAAACACTTTTCTTCACGGCACCTTCTTTAAGTAGGTTGGACTCACTTTGCGTAAACCTGTGAAGGAAAATCCAAATTGACTATGACCACGGTTTGGAGGAGGGCACCCTGTATCAGCATTCATGGGTTTCTGGAGACTTCGTGGAGAGAACTAGAGGTTCCAAGGTTATCTCTGGGCCTTCTGGAAGCATGGTGGTATTAGTTACTTTTCTGCTGCTGTGATAAAATGCCATGACCAAAAGCAACTTAAAGAAGGGCTTATTTGGGCTTTAGGGTTCCAGAGAGAGAGAGTTTGGCAACAGAGAGGAAAAGCATGAAAGCATGCAGACAGGAACAGGAAGCTGGTTGATCAAGTTTTCATCCAGATACAGGAAGGAAGGAGGGAAAGAGAGAAGGAGAGGGAGAGGGAGAGGGAGAGGGAGAGAGGGGGAGGGGGAAGAGAGAGAAGGAGAGGAGAAGGAAAGAGAAAGAAGGGAGGGGAGAGGGAGAGAGGGGGAGGGAGCGGGAGAGGGAGAGAGGGAGAGGGAGGGGGAGGGAGAGAAGAAAAGGGAGGGAGGGAGAGAGGGAAGGAAAGATAGAGAACAGGAAGTGGGGTAAGGCTATACATCTTCAAAGCCCACTCCCGGCAATGTACTTCCTCCAGCAAGAATCTGCTTCCTAAAGTTTCATAGCCTTCCCTAACAACACCACCAATGGGTTCTGAGTGTTGAAATACGTGAGTCTGTGGTGGACATTTTTCACTCAAACCACCACATGCAGGATATTTTTTTTTCTTTAATTAAAATTGTATGTATGCATGTCTTGCATGCACTCATGTTGTGCAGTGCCCCTGGAGAAGAAGGTGTCAGATCCTCTGGAACTGGATTTATGGACAGTTGTTAGCTGCCATGTGGGTTCTGGGATTTGAACCCGGGTCTTCTGCAAGAATAGCCAGTCTTCTTGACTGCTGAGCCATCTCTCCAGCTCCCCTTTAAAAGTTTTTAAAAATTACACTTTATTGCTTGCTGGATTGTGTGGGTATGCACATATGCACATAGTACATTGCATATAGAGGTCAGAGGATAACTAACAGGGGTCAGTTCTCTTCTTCCACCGTGTGGGTTCCAGAGATCAAATTCAGGTCTTCAGGCTTGGTGGCATCTTTACTCACAGGACCTATCTTTTCTTTTGTATGCGTAAAAACAAACATTTATAAGCATTTTGTTTTCTGGGGAGAGGTTTCTCTTGTAGGTTTCTTAGATTTTCAAAAGGATCACGGAGTTTAAATTGCTGAAGGCTTGTACAGTGTAGACAGCCTTGTAATGCTCAGGGACGTTTGGTTGCTGGGTGGCAGAGTCCAGTTCAAGTCTCCCTAACGCCTGTTAGCCTGTTAGTTTGCAGTGGAAGCGAGTTGGGAAGTGCTAAGGTTAAGAGCATCCTTGGTAATCTACACCAGAGTTCATTGCAACCGTTTGCTAAACACTTGTGCTTTGTGGAGTGTGAGGGTACTTGCACAGATAAACCATTGTTCCAAAATGCAGAGACTCCATGGGCTGTACAGAGACATTGCCTGTGGCAGCAGGTGCTCTTTTCTCAAGTGCAGCTGGGTCTTAACGTGCTAAAGAGCCTTGGAAGGTTCTGGGGCTCATCCAGTGTTGAAGGTTTGAGTTTTTTATTTTTACTTTTTAAAAAAATTTTTTAAAAAATTTGTATGAGTGTTTTCCCTGTACATACTTAAGTGCATCTGTATGTGAAATGCCTGCAGAGGCCAGAAGAGGGCATCAGATCCCCATGGAACTAGAGTTACAGGTGGTTGTTAGCTGCCATGTGGGTACTGGAACCCAACCTGGGTCCTCTGCAAGAGCAGCCAGTGTTCTCAACCTCTGAGCCATCTCTCCAGCTCCTGTATATTTATTTTTAAAGATTTAGTCTATTTTTAATTATGTGTATATGTGTCTGTGTGTGTATGTATGTGTACCACATGCATGCAGGTGCCCTCAGAGGTCAGAGGCATGGTGTTGTGAGTTGTCTGACATGGGTTCTGGGAACTGAACTCAGGTCTTCTCCAAGAGCAGTGCATTTTCTTAACTGCTGAACCAACTCTTCAGGCCCTACTTATTAATTAATTAATTTTTATTTATTATTTTTATTTTTTTAATTTTTAAAATTATTTTTATTTTATGTGTATGCATGTATTGCCTGAATGTAGGTAAGTGCACCCGTGTCATGCAATGCCCACGGAGGACAGAAGAGGGTGTCGGATCCCCTGGAATTGGAGTCATGTGTGATTCTTAGCTACCATGTGGGTGCTGGAAACCAAACTCGGGTCCTTTCAGAGTAGCCAGTGCTGTTAACTGCTGAGTCATCTCTCCAGCCCCACTACTTATTTTTTTTTGAGACAGGATCTTATAGCTAAAGCTGGTCTCAAGCTTATTTTGTAGCTGAGGATAGCCTTGAACTTCTGATCCCCCTGCTTTTACTTGCTGAATTTTGGGTGGAGACATGGCTCAGAGGTTGAGAACACTGGCTGCTCTTGCAGACGACCCAGGTTCGGCTCCCAGTACCCACATGGTGGCTAACAACCGTCTGTGACTGTAGTTCCATGGGGATCTGATGCTCTCTTCTGGTACTCACTGCCATGCCCAGTTTATAAGGTGCTGGGAATGGAACTAGGGGTATTGTACGTACTAGGCAAGTACTTTACAGACTGAGCCAGAGTCCCAGCCTCCTCCTTCACTGAGCATTGGCTTTGTGGGAGAGGGGCTCTGAGCTAGCTGCCTTGTGTTTGGGGTGGTATTGCACTGATTCCAAACTGCCTCAAGCTCCTTGCGTGAATGGCTGCATGAAGGACAGGGACCAGGAACAGGGTTCAGTCTAGGTCCATATTGGAGGCTCCATTTGAGACCTTGGCTATGCAAGGATTTATGGTCAGCACCACCAGATAATATGGTACTATGCTCAGTACTTAGCTTAATGCTAACAACCAGGCCAGGTCTGTGTGGAATTAGGGTCAGAACTCAGTCTAGTACTTCAGGTGAGGATCAATCAAAAATCAGGGGTCAGTTAATTACTCAGTCTAGAATTAGGGTTGAGGTTTAGTTTGTGGCTAGGATCAGCTGACTCAAGTTGGCCTTCCTTTCTGCAGGTACCCAGGACCCCACGCCCAAGAACGGAGTCAGCCGACAGCAGGCGTCTGGCCACCAAACACAGCAGGAAGGCCTTGAAGGCCAGCCTAACCCTGGGCGTACTGCTGGGCATGTTCTTTGTGACTTGGCTGCCTTTCTTTGTGGCCAACATAGCTCAGGTAATAACAACTGTGGGGGTAGATGAGTCCAGGCCTGGCTGGAGAGATACCAAGCCTCACTGTGCACAGGCAGGAGAGGAAAATGGATGGCTCATCCATGATGCCTGTATCTGTGCATCTGTCCCATCCTTGAGAGGTGGGGTGATCTGGGTTCCTGCCCCTGACACATCTTATGCCCACAGGCTGTGTGTGACTGCATCTCCCCGGGCCTCTTTGATGTCCTCACATGGCTGGGGTACTGTAACAGCACCATGAACCCCATCATCTACCCGCTATTCATGAGAGACTTCAAACGGGCTCTGGGCAGGCTCCTGCCATGTGCCCACTGTCCCCTGGAGCACCGGGCCAGCCCTGCCTCTCCCTCCATGTGGACCTCTCACAGCGGTGCTCGGCCTGGCCTCAGCGTACAGCATGTGCTGCCCCTGCCTATGCCTCCAAACTCGGATTCAGACTCAGCCTCGGGGGGCACCTCGGGCCTGCAGCTCACAGCCCAGCTTCTGCTGCCTGGAGAGGCTACCCGGGATCCCCCACCTCCCACCAGAGCTACAGCTGTGGTCAACTTCTTTGTTATGGACTCTGTGGAGCCTGAGATCCAGCAGCATCCACCCAGTTCCCCTATGAACTGACCAGGTCAAGACCTGGCCAGCAGAGAGCCACATCCCAGAGGACTCAGGCCCACTGTGGGAAGTGGTAGGTTTCCTGGGGGCCCTCTGAGCTCCAGCGGGATATCCTGATCTGGCCCCCATTACTGCTACAGGCCCCTTGCCCTGAGGGGTGATCATCACCTCAGATGCAGCTCTGCAGGGTACTGGAGAGGGGAGTATAGCTTGTGGTTTGTGTAGCATGGCCCTGTTCAGCTCAGTAGGAAACCAATCTGTCCTTTGCCTAGTCTCTCGGGATAGGTGGGAAGAACAGTTCCATCTGGAGACCCAGGATCTACTTATTTATTATTTTTATTTTATACATATGAGTGTTTCTCCTGCCTATATGTGAGTGCACCATGTATGTGCAATGCCTGCAGATGTCAGAAGAGGGCATTGGATCCCCTGGAACTGGAGTTACAGACAGTTAGGTGGGTTCTGGGAACTGAACTGGTGTCCTCTGCAAGAGCAGTCAGTGCTCTTAGCCACTGAGCCATCTCTCCAGCCCCGAGAGAGACGCTGGCTCTTGTTTGGCCCAATCTTCTGCTACCCAAAGTGCTGTCTGAGGGCTACTGGTGTTCTTAACAGTTCCAGAGAGTTTGTTCAAAACACCCATCTCTGCCCCACTGCAGACACGCTGAATCAAAACTACACGTGTGAGATTCTCCATGTGAATCCCATGCTCGTTGCAGTGTGAGACATGCTAGCTGGCATAACCTTTGACCCCAAGAAGGAGTCACTGGACACGTCAAAGCTGCCAGCCCCTAGGATGATGATGACAACACCAAAAAGCATCTTGGTCCAGGAGCTGGGAGGACACAAATCTGAACCTTTCTTCTCTTCTACTAGTTCCGGGACCTGGCACAGGTCTCAAGTCTGTTATCCTATGTGGAGCAATGATGTCATCTCGTAAGGTTGTCTTGAGACTTAGACAATTGGAATGGTGTGCCCAGCACCAGTGAGGGGCCAGTAGGTGGTAAGTTCTATTGCTCTGGCCCCTGGTCAGTCAGCCCCCACTCTGGTGGAGGGCCAGCAAGGGCCCCTTCCCGTATTCCCCACCCCTTCTCTCCCCCCTCTCCCCTCCGCTTCCTTCCTCTCCCCCTTCCCCTCCCCTCTCCCTTCCCCTTCTTTCCCTTCTCTTCTCCTCCCCCCACCCCGTCCTTTCTTTCCTAGGGTCTCATGTAGCCCAGGCTGGCCTCTAACTTCCTATGTATCCAAGGATGACCTTGAACTTCTGATCCTCCTGCTCTACTTCCTGAGGGCTGGGATTTCAGGCAGGCATTCACTATCATGCTCAGTTTATGTGGTGCTGGAGATGGAACCCAGGAACTCTTGCATGCTAGGAAAGCACTCCATCTCCAGTTTTTTCATTTGTGCTAGGATGGCCTTGCACATGCTAGGCAAGCCTCTTCACTGAGCCATACCTCCGTCCCACTGTTCTTCAGTGTTCCTTTCCAGTCTAGAGTCCCACCCTAACCCTGGCTCCCCAGCTCCTTGTTCTGGGGGCTGGGCAGGGCCCCCATCACTCAGGGACCATTCCAGTCCCATTTGGCTTCTCTGCCTCTAGAGGCCAAGGGACAGTTGACGGTTCTTGTACAACCTCAGGGGTGGGTTTCCTTCATGCTGGGCTTCCCTGGGGGGACACAGCCCCTTGTCCTGCCTCTGTTGGTCTTCCTTGGGGTCAGTGAAGGGTAATGGCGGCTTCCTGGGTGGGCGCAGCAGTGGAAGAGCAGTGTCCTTGGCAGGGGGCCTGGTTGCCAGCAGGAAGGTGGGCTCAGGCCTGGGGCTTGCTTTTATGAGTAGGGGTGGGGGATTCTCAGCCCCAGGTCTTCCTTCAAGCCCTATATTTCATCAACTCAGGCTCCCAGAGCCCTCGGAGGGTAACCGGGAGCTCTCCTTGGTGCTGACCACGCTCAGCTCGGCCCTGGCCACTGGCTTCAAGGGCCTTGGTGCTTGCTGGGCCTTCCCCTCCACCTCCAGGCCTGCGTGAAGGACTCAATAAAGGAGCTGAAAGAGGTGGCTGTGGTGTGAACGTCATTGTATTGAGGATTCTGGGGGTTTGGGAAGCCGATGGGTAAGGGTCTGGGCCCCAGTGTCTGAGGCTCTGACTCTGTCCTTAGCTTGGTCTGTGAAGTCAACATAATTTTCCTCGTCACTTTTCTGTGCAGACACAGAAGTTTGGACCCAAAGCAACATGAGGGGTTGTCGTCGGAATTCCCTCTGGGTCTCCTGCACTATCAGGCAAACCATATAATATATTTTATGTGCATTTATTAACTTACAAAGGAATGAGAACCCAGTGCCTAGCCCCACACCTCTGGCTGCGCAGCTCAGAGCCCGCCATATCAGACTATGCTACGACTACCATAGTCCCTGCTAGCATTTGCTCAGGCCTCAGGGGCCAGCAGTCTCGACCCAGGTCCACAAGAGTCAGTCCATTCTGTCTTTGAGCTGCTGTGGCTGGCTTCCCGATCTCCACACCACACGGTCCACCCGGGGCTCCTGGCTTCCCCATGGCTAGTGGCTTCCACCCCAAGATGGCTCCCAGCAGCCCCTTTGTAGTCCACGCTCTGCATCAGGCCCCGTCCATTGGAGGACCTAGCCAATTGGGAGACAGGCATGTACGTGTAAAATGAATAGTGACACTCTAGAGGGGCGTCCAGTTTCTGAATGTTGTGACTGATGTTTCTTGCCCTCCATGCTCACCAGGGCTTGTCCCCACAACCTTCTATGGGTCTTGTTTCTCCAGGTGCACAATGGAGGCAAGTCACTCAGTGGGGGTGGTGGGAAAAATGAGGAGAAGGTTCCCATCGATGTAGACACAAGGCTCCGTCTAAACTCAGGCTCCAGAGTCCCACTGGCTGGATTTGATACATGGTTCCATCACTCACCAGTAGTGTGACCTTCAACAGGTTACCTAATCTCTCAAAGCCTCAGTTTCCCCATGTGTACAATGAAGGGTAGTCATGAAGGTCAAGTGAAACCACCCTTGGTGATATGATAAATATCATTATTTATTAACATTGTTGTGGCCTCAGTTCCTGCTACACGAATCCCTCCCCTGTAATCCACACTTATCACCAGGCCCAGTTCCCACCACACTGACTGTGGATTCCACATCTATTCCTTAGACCTGAATTCTATCCAGGGCCGCCAAGTTGCACAACCTTGGGGGTGGGGCTTCATTCACATGTAATTGTGCACATGTAACTGCTGCTTCTACAGCTGTTTGATGCACAGCCTGTATGGTTGTGCTGGACAGAGTTGGATCTCCCAAGAAGCTGCCCGGGTGACACTGGGACCAGTGGGCAGCCCTGGAGAGTAGATGGAAGATCAGGCCGACCCTTGGCTCCAGAGGCTGGGAAGAGAGGAGGTACAGGGGTCTCCAGTCCCACAGAGACTTCTGGACCTCCTGATGGGGCCCACACTGGTCTAGGGCTGAGTTGGCCCTGCAGGTCACTGCCTGTGCTTCCTCCGAGAGGAAGTGTTTTCTCCCAGGACAACCCTTCCATCTAGTTCCTTCCCATTTCGGACCTTTAGAGAACTCTCTGAAAGGCCTGGGGGTGTTAGAGAGTTGTAAAGTTTGGGGAGACATCCCAGGTCTCCTTCTGGGGTCAGTCCATTTCTGCATAGGATTCCTGGGTCCCATGGGTGCAGTCTGGGCATCCCAGAGGGTTGGGACCCATGCCGTGACTGCAGATCAGGGGGCTATCTGCTGGGCCAGCAGCAGTAGAGAGCAAAGCCCCTGTGGATTGGTCCAGCCCCGTAGGTACCTGGGCTTGGCTGGTGTCAGAGGACGTGGCTGCTTTAGGGGTGTCTCCAGGGCCAGGTCCCTGTGTTTGCTCATCCTGATGGGTGGTCCTGTCTGCTGAGCTGGTGGCTTCCTGAAGCGGCTCTCCTTGAGACAGGCTGCCGGGGGCCAGTGGGAGCCCCTTCTCGCCCCAGCCTGGCTTGGTGCAGATGCCCACGGCCTTCAGGATGACATCCATCTGCTTGGCATAGTCCAAGTGGCCACTGACCTGCAGAAGGGCAGTGAGTGAGGACCATGGTGGATGGATAGATAGGGCCCAGCCCTTCCTGGGGCTCCAAGCTAAGCTCCACCCTCACCTACCCACTATCCTAGGATCCCCAACCCCCCAGTGGGTCTCAAATCAGAGCGCAGTAGGAGGATTCTGGGCTTCAAGCTGCTCTAGAATCCATTAAGCTAAGATGGAGGAAACATCTCTGAATGTGAAGGACCATCCTGACGGCTAGCAGGCAAGGGAGGGTCTTATTCTTTCTTCTGTGTAGCTGTGGGACCTCAGGTCCCTGACCTGCCCCTGAAGCAGCTTTCCCAGAAAGTTGCTTGGGAGAGCCTCCCAGGAAAGTTCCCCAGTGTGATGGCTAATCCTAAGTGTCAACTTGATTGGATCTGGGATTAACTGAAATGAAAGAGATCTTCTTGATTGGATCATCTAAAGCCGGAAGACACACCCTAAATGTGGGCGTTATCTTCTGATGGCAGCCGGTATAAAAGACCAAGGCAGAGCAGAATGCCGGGCTTTTTGTGGCTTGCCTTCTCTCTCGCTGGTGAGTTCGTCTTGCTGCTGTAGACTGAAGACTAGCTGATATTTTGGAATTTGTCAGACCTTCAGCACCAGATTGGGACTACTGAGACATCCGGCCTTGTGGACTGAGCGACTACAGATTCTCAGCCTCTCCAGTGTGGTACAGCCATTGTTGGACTACTCGGACTCTATCCTGTGACCTAAGCTGATAAATCTCTATACATATTCATTCTACTGGTTCTGTTTCTTTGGAGAACCCTGACTAATACACCCAGGAAATAAAGCTTGATTTTTTTTGAGCCTGCAAGGTTCTGCCTGTCCACAGCTCGCAGGGCATTCTCCGAGTCCTAGGACCGCTCCAGCCACCCATGCAGGGGTGTAGCACAAGACAGTTTGAGAGATGACTGTAGTTCACATGTGACCCCTGTGAAGGTCCTGTGTTGGAAACTCAACAACACAACAGTGTTGAGAGGTGGGGACTTTGCAAGGTGGTCAGGCTCCAAGAGTTCGTTCTGCCTTGTGCGTGGATTGGTGATGTCATCAAGAGAGCAGATTCGAGATCAAGGTGAGCTTGCCACTCTATCATGAGATGATGTAGCAAGAGGCTACCACCAGACAGCTGCACCATGGCCTTGCACGTCACCATCTCCACTACCTTGAGCCAAATAACTTTCTGTTCATGGTAAATTAGATAGCTTCAGGCATTCTCTTACAGCAGTTCAAATGGACAAAGATAGGGTGGTGTTCTGTGGTGCTCCTTGGAATTCTTTGAAATAGGAGTGCTTTATTTATTTATTTTTTAATCTTTATGTGTATGTATAATGTGTGTGTGTGTGTGTGTGTGTGTGTGCGCACTAGTGTGTGGAGGTCACAGGACAACTTTGGATGTTGGTCTTCACCTCCCATCGTGTTGGAGGCACGGTCTCTCTTGGTCCTGCTGTACCCACCAGGCTGGACCAAGGGCTCTGGGACGCTCCTGTTTCTGCCTTCCATCTCGCTGTAGAAGCATTGGGAATATGGACATGTGCTACCTGGTCAGCTCCTCTGTGGGTTCTGAGACTCTAAACTCACACTTGTGCAGCAAGCACTTTACTTACTGAGCCGTCTCCCCAGCTCAAGAATGCTTTTCTCACTTCGTCGTTTCCTGTTTCCTGCTGCCTGAAATTCAGGATGGCCAGAACTTGGGTGGCCATCTTGGACCGTGAGTTGGCCACTAAGGATGGTACGTACAATAAACAGACAGAGGAATTTTAACCCCTTGAGGTCACAAATGAGCCTTAAACCATCTATTATGGTTTCTTTAATGGGATAGAACCAACTCTTGTATGTTCAAGACACTTTAAGAGGGCTTGAAGACAAGGACCGAGAACTAAAAAGTAAGAGGCCCCATGTTTGTATTGGGATGTGTCCATGAATTACGAGTAGAGGCGTGACACTGGAATGGCCTATACCTAATTGTAATGGACAGGGCCAGCACATAGTAGGTCCTTCATATAGTCCAGCAACTAGGCAGTATAGATGTGTGTGGAGAGGTGAGGTGGCCGGGAGAGAGGGAACTAGTATTAGAGAGAGCCCAGGAGCCCAGCCCAGCGGTGGGGTCCTGGGACCTGCATCTTATGTAAACTCTCAGGACAGGCTCGGTGCTGGGTTTTGTCTTTTTTGGCCCGGCACCAGGGTCTATGACTTTGGGTCCAGTCAAAGCCCTCTACCTCCATCCTCTCGCTGATTCTGGCTACTTCTAGGGAAGACAGATAGTCCTGGCCAGTGATCTGTGGTGAGAGTGTTGGGGGGCAGACGGTAATGAGGGCACTCTGAGGGTTTGGATCCTGCCTTGCTAATCACCCTTCCTTGGGCAATAGGAAGTTTTCTAAGTTTGATTTTCTCATCTGTGAAATGGTTCTAACAACCCTGCCCCCCCCCCCCCCAAAAAAAACCTTGTGAGGACTAGAGCTGAGGGGATAAGACTGGGGCAGAGCTGGCAGGAGGCAGATGCCTGGAGGTCTCTGGGCCAGTGTCCCTCACACCAGGCCCATGAGGAGCTCTGGGAGGGACAGGCTGACACTCACCACTGAGGACAGATCCACATTCTCCATCCTCCGGTCCTGCAGCAGCACAGGCTGGAGGCCAGCAACTCGGAGCTGCACCGATGAAGCACGGTACACGAAACTCAGCAACCAGTCTCCCCTATGGGTGGAAAGAGGTGACATCAGCCCGGGAAAGAACAGGCTGGGCCCACTGACCCACAAGGGAGCTCAGAGGGACTGGGGTTTCTATGGGAGGCCAGCACCAGGCTGTGCACTGTTGGGAGCAGCAGGGTCCCCCTGTTACTAGTTTGTAACTAGTTTGCTGTGCATTCATAGACACGGGTATGAATATACATTCAGGCACGTTCCCCCTCCTAAGCACAATGATAGTATAAATGAGTATACCTGTTTATTTCTTCCCCAAAGTGGTCTGCTAGATGCCCCAAGATGATCTGACCTCCAGCTGGCACCCCATCCTCCCTTATCCTGAGAAAAATCCCTTCAGACTGGGAACCCAGTGCTTTGTTCTTTCTCTGTGGGCCCATCCATCACAGGCCCTCTGCTGTCTGTCCCTCCTACACAGCTGTCACCCAGAGCCTCCAGCTCACCGCCCCCCCTGGTTCTGATCTCTGAGTTCCCCACTGCCTTCCAGGCTGGGCTGCACACTCCTGCTCCAACCAACAGTCACTTCCCCAAAGTTCCTCCTCCACATTGTGTTTTAGATTGTAATGTTTAAAATTATGTCACTGGGGGCTGGGGACAAAGCTCATTTGGTAGAATGTTTGCTTAGCTTGCTTAAACCCTGGGCTTGATCCTCAGCCCCACATGGGAGGCTGGTGGCCCATGCCTGTAATCCCAGCACTCAAGAGGTGGAGCAGGAGGATAAGAAGTTCAAAGTTATTCCTGGCTACATAGTGAGTTTTAGGCCAACCTGAGCTACAGAGGCTGCCTCAACAAACACACACACAAAAGCAAAAACTGGGGCTGGAGAGATGGCTCAGCAATTAAGAGCACTGGTTGTTCTTGCAGAAGACCCCGGTTCAGTTCCCAGCACCTTATATGATAGCTATCAACCATCCCTAACTCCAGTTCCAGGGAATCTAATGTCCTCTTCTGGCCTCCATAGGTAATGAATGCACATGGTATATACATGTAGTGTATATACAGTGTATATTCATGAAATAGACACATAAAATAAAAATAATAAATAAAAAATCTTTAAAAAAAAAAAAGCAAGTTGTGCCAATGGGAACATCTCCTAAGAAAGCGCTAGGGTGATCTTCATTTCTGCCACGTCACTAACCATCACCCCTCACTGACTGTCTTCCCTGTAGCCTGTCCTCTGAATGTTTGAATTTGAGCTTAGAGTGTCGCTTTCTCAGGGTGACTTGGTCAGTATCCTCCAGGGTCTCATTCATTATGTAGCCTTGGCTGCCTTGAACTCACAGAGATTTGCCTGCCTCTGCCTCCCAAGTACTGGGATCAAAGGCGTGTGCCACCATAACATCCTTTATATTTGTTGCATTTTTGTGGCATTTCAGAAATCATGAGTTTTGGGTTTTACAGCTAACCAGTCTGTAACCTGCGTAACATAAGACACTCTGGAAATGGCTGGGTGGGGACTGCTTCCCTGGAGCTTCCCCACTGGCATGAAGCTTAGACAGACCTGCAGTAGCCATTGATAATTCTTCCGGACACCACCTTCCGGAATGGCTCCCAGTGCTTGGGGTCTCCTTCCACGGGTGCGCCCAGCAGGACCACATCCTCAATGATTCCTTGGCAATCTGGCAAAAGACCCCAGAAAAGTTTGTCAGTTTCCTGGCCTCCACAGAAACTAGAGGGAGAGGGTGGAGTGGGGTGGTGGGGTGAGGTTAAGGGGTAGCAGGGGGATCCCCAATAATGATAAAGGCAATGAACGTCACACACATGCACATATATACACACACATACAGGCAGGCCACACACACACACACACACACACACACACACACACATACAGAGCAATATAGGCTTAATGCTTAGAGGGTTCTGGGCTCCAGGTCCAACCCTCATATCCCAATCTATTCCTTCAAAGCATCACTGTCACCATCATACTAAAGGGAAACCCAGGCATCTTCTAGATCACATAGTTAGCAGTTGAATTGGAACCAGGGCCTCTTTCCACCACCTACACAGCTTATACCCATTGTGGGCACAGATGGGCTATCCCTCTTCAGAGAGACCCCTGAGCCCTGTACCATCACTGGCCACATGGGATATACTGTTGCGTGGTTCAAGGTCATCAAGGTCATCTTTGGCTTCATATGAGCTCCTGTCTCAATCCTGTCTCAATCTCTCTCTCTCTCTCTCTCTCTCTCTCTCTCTCTCTCTCTCTCTCTCTCTTTCTCTCCTGCTTGGTCTCAAACTTTAGAACCCCAGACAAAATAGGCCTTCTAGACAAGTTACAGAAAAGCCTTACTCAGTAGTTGGGACTATGAGTGGTAGAGTATGTGTCTAGCATGTGCAAATCCCTGAGGGTCATCCTCAGCATGGAAAAAAATCCTTATCAGGCTGCACCTCCAGTGTCCAGCAGTCCCTGCAGACACGGAATCTGTGGGCCATGACCTGAGTCAGTCAGTGTAGAATATGCCCATTTTTTTCAGAGGCTGGAGGGCCAGTGAGATGGCTCAGTGAGTTAAAGGTGCTTGCTGCCATGAAGGATGACCTGAAGTTGATCCCAGGGATCCGAGGGACCTACATGGTAGAAACAGGGAACTGATTCCTACAAGTTGTCCTGACCTCCACACGCACACCATAGTATGCACCTCCCATCCCCGTCCCCACATACAATAAGTAAGAGTAAAAAGAAATAAAGATGCTGAAGATGAATATTTAATGGTAACTAATATGAGAAGACCCAATTCCCAATTGTTTTTTTTTCTGTAGGGACAGTGTGTCTACCCAAGGACATTGGCTGCCATAGGCTTCCCTTCTTGTGCATGCTTAAGACATTAAGTAAGACAGCCACACAGGCCTGGAGATGCAGCATAGCGGCAGAGTACTTGCCTAGCATGTAGGAGGCCCTGGGTTCAATCCCCAGCACTGGAGGAAAAAAAAGAGGCAGTCCCACAGACTCATAAATATTCATATTTTCATGTAAGGATGAGTTAGTTTTCAAGTTTAGAAGGCAGCTTGTGAAGCTTTTGTGCTTGGATTTCTCAATTTTGAAACGGCTCCTTGGATCTTATTAATATTCTGCGTTTACCGAGGAAGTGGGTGGTTCTTCATCCTGTAACTTCAGCAGTAAGTAGGTGGCACGCCTCCAATTGAAAACGGAAAGCTCGTCAGTCATGCCACCCCCCTCAGCTCTTGGGCCTTTGTGTTATTTTTTAAATTTTTTATCGCATTTTTGTACCTTTCATACAACAGTTCTTAGTCAAATATAGGCCCCCTCTCCTATCCATGCCCTCCAACCCCCCACTGGACCTCATGTATTCCACCATACATGTTGAGTCTTATCCAGTCAAGCATTTGAACCCAGATGTCCTTCAGTACAAATTCATTCACTGGAGTCTAGTCAGCCTATCTAGAGATGGCAAGTAAGGCCTGCTCTCCCTCACCCAGCAGCAATCAGTCTTCAATAGTTCTCAGTCTAGGCCTGGCCCGCCACCCATTTCTCTCGCTCCACTCTGGTCCCTTGTCTGATTGAGTTGGCATGGGTCCTGTGCTCCATTGCCACAAGTTCACATGTGTAAGCTTCCAGTGACCTGAAAGCCTCTGTTTCCCTGTGTTCATGAACCAGTCCTGGCTCTTAAAATCTTTATGGCCCACAATGATTCCTGAGTCACGTGTGACTGAGGTCTAATACAGGAGTCCTATCCAGGGACACACACTCTGCAGTCTCTTATTCTTTACAACTTGATTAAGTTTTAAAACTTATGGCCTTCTGTGTGCATTGCACTCTGTTGTATAAGGAAGCTTCACTGGTGAGAGTTGAGGGATGCATTAGTTTTCTCTCTACCCCGCATTCCACAATGTTCCGTGAGCCTTAGGTGTAGAGGTTCAACTGTAGATGTGTGTCACCTAGGACTGGGCATCTCTCAGACGCATATTCTCTGTGTCTGACCATTTGTGGAATTCTGCAATAGCCTCTATCAGAATCATAGGTGTGCAGGTCTGTCCGGCTAATCCGGAGCCAGGGAAGATGGGGGTGGGGGGACCACCTGAAGAGGGACTTAGTAATCTATGCTAGGGGGTTTAGTTAGTCTGGGTTAGGAACCTAGTCCAGAAATCTGAGGCAGAGGAATTGGAGCCTGCCTGGGTCCAAGGTTGGCAGGGTGGCCTTTGTGTTATTTGCACATGCAGTCAAGCACTTCCTTCCAGTCCTTTCTGACTTTCACCTCTTTACTTATTAGCACAAGAGACAAGAGTGAGCCGTTTGAACTGTAAGTCAAGGCTGGGATGTAGCTCAGTTGGTAGAGTGCTTGTCTATCATGCATGAAGCCCTGGATTCCAGCCCCAGCATTGCATAAACCAGGTGTAGTGGTGCATACCTGTAACCCCAGCATTTGAGAGGCAGAGGCAGGAGGATCAGAAGTTCAAGGTCATCCTCAGCTATATAGCTAGTTCTAGGTCAGCCTGGGCTACATGAAACCTCATTAAAAAAAAAAAGAAAAGTATCTATTGAAGAGTGATAACTATGGACAGGACAGGGAAGAATATTTAACTGTTGTTCTTAGTTCTCTGTGAAGTGTCCACAGAAGCCAGAAGAGGGCATCAGATCCCCTAGAACTGGAGATACAGAAAGTTGTTAGCTGCCATGTAGGTGCTGGAACTGAAGTTGGTGCAAGAGCAGCCAAGGCTCTTAACTGCTGGGCCATCTCTCCAGCCCCCTTGTTCTAGTTCTTTAAAATATTTTAGTTATTACTTTTGTGTATGAGCATATTGCTTGCATGTACGTAAGTGCACCTGTGTTGTGCAATGCCTGTGGAAGTCAGAAGAGGGTGTTGGATCCTCTGGAACAGAAAGCTGTTAGCCACCATGTGCATGCTGGGAATTGAACCTGGGTCCTCTGCAAGAGCAGCCCTAGACAACATGAGTAGGCCAGAGGGCGACATAAGGTATCTTCCTCAGTTGCTTCTTCATCTCATTTTTTTTTGAGACAGGATGTCTCATTGAACCTGATTGGTTAGGCCAGCTGGCCAGAGAACCCCAGAGACCTGTCCACCACTCTGCCGAAATTACAGGTTGGCACAGCTGGCTTTTATTTGGGTGCCGGAATTCAAACTCAGGTTCTAATGAGTGTATAGCAAGCATTCTACAGACTGAGGTGTCTCATCAGCCCCCTCGGATTTTAATGTTTAATCTATGCCCTTGTGTGTGTGATGGATGCTAAGTAAGTGCTCTGTCACCAAGCCACCTTCCTTGCCTGGTTTTACATTTTTAATTGTGAGGAAATACACATAATGTAATATTTCCCATCTGTGCTGGATAGCTTTAGTGTCAACTTGACACACCTGGTTAGAGGGAGCCTCAACTGGGGAATTTCCTCCATTGGACTGGCCTGTGGCCATGTCTGTGGGGCATCTTCTTGATTGTTGAGTGATGTGGGAGGGCCCAGCCCACTGTGGACTGTACCACCCCTGGGCAGGTGGTTCTGTATTGTATAAGAAAGCAGGTTGATGAGGCTGGAGAGATGGCTCAGTGGTTAAGAGCACTGACTGCTCTTGCAGAAGACCCGGGTTCGATTCCCAGCACCCACATGGCGGCTACAAACCATCCTTAACTCCAGTTCCAGGGGAATCCGATGCCCTCTTCTGACCTCCGTGGCATTGTATGACACAGGTGCCCTCACATGCAGGCAACACAATCATACACATAAAATAAAAATAATAAATAAAATATTTTAAAAATATTTAAAAAAAAGAAAGCAGGTTGAGCAGGGGCCAGGAGAGCAAGCCAGTAAGCAGTGTTCCTCCATGGCCTGTGCTCCAGCTCCTGCCTCCAGGTTCCTGCCCTGAGTTCCTACCTTGGGCTCCCTGATGAACTGTGATCCAGGAGATGTAAGACAAATAAATCCTTTCCTCCCCAAGTTGGTGTTGGTCAGAGCATTTTGTCACAGCAATTGAAAGCAAATTAGAACATCATCTTTGTCATTTGTATTTTGATACACAGGTATCCAAGCTTGACTTGAACTAGCTATGGAGCTGAGGATGATCTTGAACTTGTGATCTTGCTACCTCTACTTCCCAATTGCTGGGATTACAGGTGCAGGCCACCACTCCTGGCTTACATGGGGATGAACCCAGGGCTTCATGCATGCTAGGCAAGCACTCTATCATCTGAACCATATCTCCAGTCCTTTACCATTTTAAAGTGCTTGATTCAGGGGGCTGGAGAGATGGCTCAGTGGTTAAGACTGTGTACTGCTTGTGAAGAGGATCAGAGATCAGTTCTCAGCACCTACAACATGCATTTCACAGCCACCTGTGACGCCAGTGGATCTGCTGCCCTCTTCTGGCCTGTGTGAGCACTGCACTCATGTGTACATTTCCCCAGACCGATACACACATACACATAATTAAAAATAAAGTGCCCAACTCAGTATCAACGACGTTCACGTCACTGAGCAACTCCCTGTGCTTTGATCAGAATTTTGATAAGTGGCTCACCCTGGACTCTAGGGGTGACATTTTGACCACTTGGCACTCTGAACCATCTGGAGGGTGCTTCAGTTTTTTCCAAACCCACCCAGAGCTGAGAAGGTACATCCTCTTCTTAACAGCAAACCTCAGTTTACATAATA